TGTGGGGAATGCGGTAGCTACAGAGAAGAAGCGTTGCTCATTACTTTGATTCGTAGGATGAATGTTCTCTATCCGTCCAACGGGGAAAGCTACCCTGTATTCAAGAATGCGTGTATGTAGCGTGCGGCGGGAAAAAGTGTCAAGAGGTGAATGGATAGGGTGGAGTAAGGTGGTCCGCGTTGTTCTCGCCGTCGTCGTCTTCTCCTTCCCCTTCTCTACTCTCCTCCGAGATCTCTCATTTCGATCTTCTCTCCTGCCATCGTGGTCGTAGCCGTGCCATGGGTGAAGTGCGATGACAAAGAGCAATCCTTCATCCATTTTAGGTAAGTGGCCTCTTCCACCTCATTCAAGAGCTTGCGGCATCACGGACGAGGCGAGCGACTTGCCATCATCGCACCTCCGCGCATATGTACGTGGCATATGCAAAAGGGAGGAGCTCGGACTGAACGGTTCGGTGGAAAAATTATGAGCCTTACTCCAGAGCGTCGACAACAACAAGAGCGGCGGCGTGCTCTCTCGGTAGTGTCCGAACACGTATCCGCTCTGATTCTAAGTCTGATTCTGCATATCTGAGCGAAAGACATTATCGTCTCTCAACTTTGTCCTTGAATGGGGGAGTCCATGTATGTTTATGCGTCTGAGTGAGACCCCTGGACTCGCAGGGCGTTCAGCAGATCGAGGTGGAACTCCGGCAGGTCATAGAGGCGAATCTCGGGAAGGTAGCGCGGATGTCGTCGCCTCGATATGAGCGATCCTTCTGCATACATCGATTTATCGAAGAAATACGTTGCAAAAGCCGATCATCTGAGCTTTATGAACAGTTGAGGTCTATCGGTCAGTGATCCGCGTCTACTGAGGAGTCCCGCCGAAGGTCGTCGGCCGAGCGAAGGGATTGTAGTGCTGGGGATCTGCGGCTAGATGCATTAATCCAACGCGGAACGGAGATCGACGTTCGGCACAATCCACGTTCGATGCTCCAGGGGGAAAAATCGCTCCATCCCGCACAGTGGCTCAAGTGGATCCCTGGTCGAAACGAATGATCCTAATAGTGCTCTGGCGATTACTCGTCCAGGTTCAGATCTGCGGTGATTCAAAGACGTTGAAAATGTCTCACTCATATGCTCAAATCACACGAGACTGCGATTATAATCCATCAACTTACTTTGGAGATACCCGCAGTGTACGATGCCGCATAGCTATGAGCTGTGTGGGCGCCGAACGATGGGGGTGCTCTAGCGAATCAAGATACCCGAGGAAACCGATCATGGAAGCTTCGAAGCTTTAAATGGAGCTCCATCATTTTAGGAAAATATATCAGTATACCTCCCTATTTTAGATCGAATACTCGGAATCTTAGGCGACGAAATGTTATTTGCCGATTGCGGCCGCCAGATTCATCTCGATTATGATGCACGGGGAAGTTGAAGCTGACGCTCCGAATCCCGATACCCAAGATGCTATGTACTCCTCCATATAGCTTCACGGAGCTACGAGCGGCCGTGTAGGGCAGCGCTCCCAGATCGGAATGGGATTTCTGAGTTTGACGTTCGATGGTTCTCGCTCACTGAGGGAGCCGCATGGGATCACGATGGAGGATTCGCAAGTTGTATACCCAGCAGGGGGTTGTACGCCAGCAACGTAGGTGAAATCAGTGCATATGAACATCCTACAGAGTTTTTTCCCTTATCTGCCCTCAGGTTTTGAGAAGTCCAGCTGCTCGGATTAACCTCAGACTGACGAAAAAGAAATAAGTGAGCTCTTCCGCGAGCTCAGGCAAGGCGTCCGGCAAAAAACACGAGGCGACCTTTCCCAACACCTCACCGTATTCCCTCCTCGGTAGACACACCTCCGATTGCTTGCTCCCAGCACATTGGAAACTCTTGATGGATGCGTCCCTCTCGATGATGGCGATGAAAGACAAGAATAAGTTCTTCACAACTGACGAATTCCTCTGCTGAGACAGAGGCAACCGATTTGCCGCCGTCGCCCAATTGTTAAATATTTGGAGCGTGACGAGGCACGAATTCTCGGAAAGAAGAGGAGGATGTCTTCATTGAGGAAGAATTTGTTCTCATGTAGTAGGTTGTATGCACACACGTAGAGGGTTCGTCTGGCTCTCGAGACCGTTCGGAGTTTGTGCGCACTAGGCAATATGTTGACGGGTTTACATGGATCAAACTTTTCGCATACGGCGGGGGGACGAACTACCAACTAAGTCAAGCTGATCATCACTTGGAGCACTCGGAATGACTTGCGTCGGGTTCGTGTCATGGAGCCCAACGTATGAGCATATAGGAAGAAGGGAAGTTGCTCGAGAGAGATAGAACCTGGGACACTCAAGCGAATTCACTCTCTTCGGCTGCTCAAACATGAGCTGTCAAACGAGCGGATGAGGAATCGGGGACCAATCTTGGCTCCACTGCTTCATTTATGGCCGCATCTCTAACGAGCAAGATCATTGTTGTCGCCTGGACGCGGGCCTACGGTGATCAAGCATTGGCTTGACAGGAAGACTGAGCACTGAGCGCGCGCGAGAGCGGCTCTCGAGCAGCTCACCACATTGAATTTGTGATTCACAGCGATACCGAGCGCAAGGTCGAGAGCCTGATTGCGTGTGATCAGACAGATCGGTATCACTCAAGAGTCCTAAAATCGAGGCGCGAATTCCCTCGTTGCGAATTAAACATATGAGACCGTTTCTCTGAAGAACATCGGAGGCACCCCGCTCGCGTCCCATATATTACATATATTTTTGGAGCAAAAAAGTGTCTCAGATAGTTCACGCAGGCAGACGAGCAGAAAAGTTCCTCGAAAGGCTGAGAATGTTGTTCAACAGCATCTGATCATTTCTCGTGTGACTTCTAGCGTAACCGAGTGCGCCGTCAGTCAATTTCGTCAGTCAACATTTTGAAGAGCCTCCCTAATTGAAAATCGTGGCTAGACTGCGAACTTCGATGCAAGTTAAGTTCGTGACTCGAATCGATGACTGACTGATAGACTCACTCTTCCACCCACAGCCAGCCGGCTCGCCACTTTGCTTCTCTTCAGCCAGCGCGGCGGATAGACGGTAGACCGGGGAGAGTTAGGAGCAGCGTTGAGCTTGTATTACGGCCGGAGAGCTCGGTTTGCTGCCGGGTAGAGGAAGTAGCCGAGGAAAGCCCCTTCGATGATGGAGGTTCATGTTTTGAATATATTCATGAGCCTCGATTAGACTACGTTTTCACTCACAACGTGTCAGATCAATCAAGGGAGAACATTCCGGATAGCCTCTTCCGGCTGAACACCTCACCATGTCGTCCGGTACGAGGTTCCTCCGTCACGAATTCGGAACTCTACCATATACGGTATCTTCCGATGTTCTGATTCCGGCTCCTGACCGATCTTGAAGCATCATCCGGGGAACGAGCCACCAGAGATTTTCTCGCACTGAGAATCAGCTTAAATCACGATGCATATTGATGAGAGCGCTGCGACATGGGGTTTGTTTTGCATTAAACTCCGAGACAGAACTCCTCGCCCTTCTTCACGGAACCCTCGGACTTGAGCGGCTCGACGCTCAATGGTAAACAATGGGTTATATTCGTTTATCTTTCGCCAGCGTCGTAAGCTGAAGTGAGTTCCCCATGTATTTCCTGCGCTGCCTTATACGAGGCACACAGCCGCCGGCGCTGTGGGACACACTTTCTCATGGCTCTTGAAATTCATTTACACCATGAGCTGCTACTCACAAAGTGACCACATCGCCTTCGACTGCACAAACATGCTTAGCTGAGTCTGACATCCTCAATCGTACGTCTAGTGGAGCACCGGTACGAATTCCCGCCGGGGATGAATGCAGCACGCCCACGTCTCACTCCGGAGGAGTTTCTCAAAGTCTAGAAATTATTGCGTCTTGCGACTCGGTGCGAACTTGAGGGATGCGTGAAAAAAATTGTTTCCCTCCCAGCTCTGCGAATTCAGTGCTCTGCGTTTCCTGATCTCAACCGGTCGGGAGCGGAATGATGCGGGGAAGAGCTCTATCATCTCGGATTGTGTACGCGAGAGGGGCTCGTCTGCCGATCGGTTGGTCGAATGGTCGGGCAGCGAACCCGTAATCATGACGATCAACTTGGGATTCGAGAGGAATCCATAACCACGGAATCATTTACGACAGAGCGACAAGTGGGTATTGCTGGAGGAGTCGCAAACGCAATTGCTGCCTTGATCCCGGATGAGAGAGGACTCGGGAGAGCGAGATGAGAACGGATCTGACGCGCAAGTGTCCCGCCCTTTCTCGAGCATCGTGGATTTGTCTGATTATCCCGATAGAGAACCGATAGTTGTGTTTCGGATGGCTTAGACCTAGGAGCGAGTCCGTGCATTCCCGATCGAACGAAGCTCCGGGGTGAAATTCGGATTGAGCATCGAAGAATAAACTCGGAGGAGATAGAGAATACTGTCAAGTCTCACAATTGGCGATCTTCCGACAGAAATATTGCGAAGCCTCGAGGAGTGTTGTGAGCGAGGCTTTAGTCCGGAATGCCTCGAGCCGAGGGAACGTTGTACATTGAGAGAGGATCTTGAAAGGTTTCTAACAGCTTTGAGAGGGTCAGAACTCCGCCCTCGCGTGAAGGAGGGCAGGCAAGGCTTTGTTCCCAAGGAGAAGCGGCGTAAAATATCTTTGTAGCCACATGGAGCACCTTGCACTATCCTGATGTCTTGGGACTTCGCGTCCTTGTATTTCTCGCTGCTGTAGGCATGTCTTCCTCGCGAAGGGGAATCTACCCTTCAGAAAAAAGTCGCGACATCCTCTGCGCTTCACGGTAATTTCCATTATAATGAAGTCGACCAGAGACTTAGAGATAATGAACGATTTCGAATTCTGAAAGTAAACCCGGAATGACTCCGGGAGAATTCGTAACGAATACTGTATCGTCTACTTGAATGGAAAGTTCATACGACTTCCGCCCCTCCATCTCGTTCCTTTATTTCAGATTCGCCGCCCGATCACGATGATAAATTCACTCTCCGCTCGAAATGATCTTGAGTAGAGCCCGAGCTCCCGCGGTAGGATTCGTCGTCTTGAGGGCTCCACGGCACGCTGTCACACAGCGACCTTTGTACTGACCAACTCGTAGACGAGCCGCTTTTTGGAGTATTTTGTGGAGCTCCCGCAGCTGTTGTTGCAATTGTTCGTGACTTTGATTCCGTATTTTGTGCGATTGAATCAATTCTCGGTTCAGGGGCTGCAGTTCCATGTACCACTGACGCATGGCTTTGCTGTTGAATCGAAATGAATGTTTTTAGAAACCGACAACGTTGATTTCCTGAGATCACGCGTGGCGAAATGGTTTTATACGCCTCCCGGAATGATACTCCACAGTGATGTTATAAATGCATAGATTCCACTGTTGGTGTCGCGTTCTTCGGAGAGGAAACAGAAACAGAGCTTTTGCGAGCTTTTCACCATGGCAAATCAAAACTGGGAGACAACTCACAAATCTTTCATGAGCCGAGCGTCTTCAGCTCTGACTATGAGCGCTCGAATGAGAGCCGAATTGTCAGCCATCTGCGCCGACATTTGCATCTTAGCACTCTGGAATTCTTCGATGCGTTGCATGAGTTGGAGGAGATTTTCACTCTCCGCCGGGAAATCGGCTGCAGATTGGAGCTCTTCAATGCCGAGAAATGAAGTGAGCGACTGAATCATCTCACCAGCGATTTCCATGGATTCAGTTCGGATCGTCATCTGAAACGTGAGTATCCTTTCATTACGCGAGTCTTTTTCGAGCCCCTGAATCAAGACCTTTTACTCGGCGAAATGTGAGAGAGACCGATTTCCTGTATCGAAATATCTGAATGGATTGGCATGGAGCTTCTATCGCTCACCTCTCCTGAGAAATCCATGTCGAAAGTTACGAGTTTCGAGTCACGAAGGCTGAGGAAAGTCATGTGGAGGTCTTCTCGCACGCTTACTTCTTCTTCCAGGAGGAAACTCTGATTTATCCATTGGGCCACTCGATGAGGTCTGTCATTGAGCTGGAACTTGACTGTGCCTTCTGCCTCTGAGCTCGGGGACTCCGAGCAGACGGTGTACATGGCGAATCTCGGGAGAGCCCTTGAGACTTCGAATACGTGGAACTGGGTTCTGGAATGACCGTGGAATCGACGAGACTTTATGACGCTTAATTTTCAGCTTTGAGGTCTCGTCATGGAGCGATGAGCTATTGACCGTCAATCTCTCCGCTCGATGTGGCTTCTCCCCTCTATCCTCCTGAGCACACGGAACCGCTCGACCAGGCTCTCCAGTATGCATGTTGAGAACTCAGACTTCACGAGTAAAAAAAACTTCCAGAAACGTTCGTCACTCACGAGTTCTTGTAACCGATGAAGGCTTTGATGTGAAGGTCGACTTCCACATCCCTCGGGGGTGTGAGCGGGACGACCGCTTGACTGCTTGCGAAGTCATCGTTGTGACTGTAAGGAGGAGAACTGGCTTGCATATTCTCGGAGCTTCGACTTGCTGCAGCGACCGAGTCGGATGAGCCTCATCGTGCGCCGGAGCGTTATCAGCGAGGAGTAAACTTACATAACGAGGCTTTCGTTCTGAAAAATCCCTTCGGCAAAAACGATGACGGCTTGAATTATTGTCTCGTTGTTCGTTTCCAGGAGGATCTCCACATGCGGCTGTAGTCCATCGCCTCCCATGTTGATGGCGAGACCAGTTTTCAAGCGCGTGTTTGCCTTTGGAGCAATCTCAGCGTTTTATTGGGGAAGGCTTCTGACGCTCCGATGAACGCCAGTCTCGGGTCAAGCGAAAAAAATCAGCGACAATATTCATTCTCGCGTTCACGCACCGCAATGCAGGCGATATCTTGATTGGCGATGGCCTGAACTTGCTGAGCGCTGTTCATCTCAGACAACTTCTTCGCCTGTTCGTAGTTACTCAACTCCATTACGAGAGCTTGTTTCTTTTGACTCAATTCCCTGATAGTTTCTTGCTCGTAGTTGGCATCCATGAGTTGTTGCCGGTACTCAGCGGTAGTGGGCGAATAGCCTCGAACTGCAACGACCACAAATAATGTCGTAACAACTTTGGTTCGGCATCTGAGTAATTACCTCGGAATTCTCGTCCCCGATCTTCGGCAGCTCGGCAGAGTGAACGTGTTTCAGGTGTCGCGTACCTTCGCTGCGAGGGTCGCCATCGGTGACGAGACCCGAGCAAGCGCGCGCCCAGGAATTGTTTTCGGGGGGGGCATTGTATTTGTAGGGGCTAACTACCGATGGTGATGAGCCTCAACATGGAACTCTATGGGCCAGAAAGAGATCTCGTGGGGGCCATGGCCCTCTCGCCCCGCCCATCCCCCCTGGGCTTGCCACTGGACCCGAGGGACGGGATCAGCCTAGGCAAGGATCGGGGCAACCGGAATCTAACAAGTGGGTTGCCAGTGGAACACACCTTCGCCGTCGACTGAGCACACAATCAGTTGTTCCGTTCCGTCGAGAACGTAGTCCGCGATCACGATACCGGCGATCGAATGCCCGAAGGAATCTTTGCTCAATACTTCACCGGTGCGAATGCTGCGGGCATCCACTTTCCCATTCGACCATCCAGTGACGAGTTCAGGTTTACCGTCTCCGTCAATATCGAATGCGACGAGGCAGATTGGCTGATTTTTCGACTTGGGGAAAAGCATCTTAGTTAGGAATCGCGGAATCTCCGTGCATTCGCATCATTTCTCCGCGAAAAATCAGACCGATAAAAGGGATAGGAGCAGTGATAATCTCACCTTAATTCGCCACAGCCGAGCACCTCCATTCTGATAAACGCCGATTGTACCGTTCACCAGCGCGTATGCGAAGAGCTCAGAAGTTAGTGAACACAAGAACACGATCGACTCCGTTTCAGTGATTTCGTGCGCAATGACATCTTCTTTGAAGACTCGGATGTCGAAGTCCTCTGAACCCACCAGCAGCTGCGATCGAAATGTGCCTTAGGGGGAAGCGGCAGTGGTACAACCGTCGATATCTGCTCATTCTTCTAACGAAACGTCATCTCGATTTCCCTTCTCGTCTCGGCCTTCTAGCTCCTACCTCTTGAAGACCGTCGCCATTGAAGTCCGTAAGAGCCATCGAAGTTATATTGTCACCAGTCACCTGCGGTATGGAATGATTTTAAATCGGAGACCTCCAGCTCTTTTGTCAATCTCCTCAATTCTCGGACTGGGTACTCGAGCTCGCTGAGGGATTTTGGAGGCAATCGAGAGGTTTCCTGCATGCATTATTCCTTAGTATAGTTCGTGATCCCTCTGGACATCCAAGTCTTGATTCAGTGATACGTGAATAGAAAACGAAAGGATCGAAGCACGAATTCTCCACTCACCGTCCAGAACACATCATTCCCTTCGTAGTCGAAGCCTTGAATGGAGCAGTTCCCACCGACAAGGACAAGGGGAGACGTGATCGTGCCTAGATGCCCCACGCACAAGCAATTCGCGCCGTCCGCAATCTGGAGTGTTCATTCAATTGAACGTATTGTGAGCTTGACATCGCGGGCTTGTGAGTTACGGAAACCCGAGGAACTAGCCCGGCGAGTACTCCGCTGTCACAGCTTAATCAGGGGGCTCCTTGTCGAGCCGCTGCCTTCATCCCCGGAAATACTTCAGGCTCTGATCACGCTGCGCTCACCTCTTTGTAGAATAGATCGCTGTTATTTTCAACGTCGTATGCTAGTACGGAATTCGGTGTTCCTACGACGAGGACCTCCTCGGAAGACCCTGGCCTCAGGGTTCCTGTTGCCAGCGATGACACTTTCTGATTTATGTTCAGGAGGGAAACATCTGCAGCTGCGGCTGCTGGGTCCGTCAGCCATCGATCGCCCTGTCGTTTCGTCTTCGTGTGAGGATTGTGGACGAAAACCTTGACAGGGCACACCAGTTAGAAGAAGCGATCCAAGATGTCTCAACATGAGCTTCAATGGATTCGGCCCCACGGCAGATGTGGATTTCTTCGTCGAACTCTTCCTCGGGGGTTTCCGACACTGCATTTTCCGAGATTACCTTTTCAGCAGACGTGGCTGCAACAATGCACGGATGGGTTCCATCAAAGCGACCGACGGCGACCCGTCGAGGGAGAATTTTGTGATTTAGGTTGAAAGTGAAGACGGCATTCATCGGCGTGCTGTGCGCCATGGCGACAACTGGAGTGAAGACGATCTCGTCTGTTGCCGGTTTGGAGCAACTTCACACGGAGCTTAGAATCCTTGTTTTGGACCCCAGTTGCCATGGACTACTGAGCTTTCCATTAGTGCTATGGGGGTACGACGGGGAATAGATCGAGCGGCTCGGATCTCAAGGAATCGAGCTCTTGAGTATAAGGCGCTGATAAGTTTCGCGGGACGAACATGCGGGGCGAGATCCAATATAACCTTTGTGAGGAGTTCAGGCCCAGGATGGAAAGCAAGATACGAGAAAAGATCCACCCATCGTCCTGTAATAGAACCACGAAACTCTCTCCCGAATATCGAGGCTGCGTGGAATTCGTATTTGAACACATCAACGTCTGGCTGGGATTTGCATACACCACCTATGTCAGGTGGGGCACTTATGTTACATAGGGACAACAAGGGTCTCTTTGATCGACGATAGCCTCACGTTATCTTGACGAAGCACTTGGGCCGCCGATAGACATTCGGTCCCGTAGGAAAGGCCCCTTCCAAGGACGATCCGTCCGTTTTTAGACACGAGATATCAATCTTTCCCTCGAAACGCATAGATTGGGAGGCTCAGCCTATTTAGCAAAACGCCTTGTCTTGTATTACAATCACTTTGTGAGTGGTAGAGAGGGAACTCAAGCTCTCGAGACACGAGAAATATTTGTTTAGCTCGTGAAGGTGTAGACTCGAATTTGGATCCCATTTACTCTATGACTAACTCCGACCCGCGGGTGCCAAGAGCGGCTGGGGGGAAATGTCCTCATTGAGCCCGAGCGCAAGAGCTCTCTGGCAGAACATTTTTGCGAATGTTGATACAGAACATATTTGTACATTTCGGAACGAGTCCGGAATATGGGCAACATTGAGCAGGCCTTAGAGCCTAAGGAGCGCCCTGACATCGTGAGCAGCCTATGTCAGGACATCAATATAAAACTCCAGTACATGCGAGCTGCAGGGGCTTCCCGGCTCGAAGCTGGTCGACGACGGCGCTCACGACGAAAGCATCGACGCCGTTGACGATCCAATCTGGCAATCTCCGTTTCGAGGCCTCTTTCCTTTTGCCGCTTTGCGTGTTTACCACGTTCGCTGGGACGAGCGCTCTCTACACTCTACATCATACAAGGCTCCCCCTGGTGGCTTCGTTGGTAAACTGCATGTCACCCAGAGCATACCAGCCAGCCTCCTAGTCAGCGAGGTTACTCTCAGCTGGCCGGTGCGTGCATCTCACCGCGTGCGAAGGTACGTTCACGAACGCTGTAGATAAACACACGAATCGACATCGAAGGTATTGGAGCTGGCCACATAACGTCTCCGTGAGAATAAGCATAAGCTTGGAGCGAAATTCGGATTGATTCACGACTGATTTCACGTTTTGTACGAAGATGTCATATGCGGATGTCAAGGTTCCGAAGATTGAGGCTCTTTTCGAGAGGGATGGATACCTCAGGAGCTACGAAAATGAAATAAAGAGAAGGTGAGTGGACAACACCCATGAGTGCGTTAGTTTCAAGAGCTCTTCAGAGATCTTTATTCGGTGTGTTTGAAACTTGGCTCTCCGAGGAACGAATTATATCGCGGAAGAATCTTGATATTCCGTCAAGGTCAACGACCTATCGGTCTCGTGGCTGCCGGGAAACTGTTGTCAAAACGCAGATCACCGTTTTTCCTCTGATTGAGGGGCATGCCCCATGATTTTTCAACTTACGCGTGGGGTGCCCGTCGATTAGAGAAGCCCCCTGGTTCAACTGGGTTGGGAAACAATGGACTATCTCTGAGCTCAATCGAGCATTAGCGTAGAATAAACTAGTGTTACCGGCTGGTGCACGATGGAGTATGACTGCGTGGTTCATCCATGACTGCCCATCTAGTCCTTTAGGTACATTACGAGCTATATATTCTTGCGCGATCCGCAACCTGAGCTGCCCCTCAATTAGAAATTCCACCCGATTTTTACCCCCGGGAAGAGCTCTTCGATTGGCATTGTGGCACGCCTTCCTAATAGAGAATGGCCTCCGCTTATGGTAAGAGGGAACCTTGTATAGAGATTCACTTCACTTCGGACACAGGGAACTTTATAGTACCCTTCCTATAGCACCCTCGAAGCATAGGTGAAGTCCATACGGAGCACGACCTGCCTATGAACTATGTACGACTTAAATGGTCGTCCAACTAAGATACTATATCCCTACCATCCAGATATAAATGCTTCTCCGAAAAGCGGACCCAAATCGAGAAAGCGGGCGGTTTACGAAGATTCTGCGAATCCTATAAGGAATATGGTCTACATGTGCGAAAGGATGGCACCTTGGTCGGAGCTGAATGGGCTCCGGGCGCAAAGGGGCTATACCTCCGAGGAGAATTCAACGATTGGAACAACACGTCTCATCCCTACAAAAATGTCGGATTCGGTGAGACTCTCGCCCAGGCGGACTACAGCTATTTTCCTAATTAGGCTTTCGTACAGATCACAACTGAAACTACTGATATTGCAGGCAAATGGGAGCTCCGAGTGCCACCGAAGGCGGACGGTAGTCCGGTCGTCAAGCATCTTGACAAAGTCAAAGTCGTGGTCCAAACGCAAGACAATAATTTCGTGGACCGAAATTCCCCGTGGGCGCAATATGTCCTGGAGGATTCCTCGAGTCCAGTGTACAATCATCATATCTACATTCCAGAAAAAAAGTGTGTCTGAAGCGCCAAGTCCAGCATGCCGGAATTCTAAAGTTGCTATGATATTCCTTGGGAAGCCTTTTGAGCATTATTGGAGCCCCGACCCGCAGTACAGAGCTGTTTTTTCCGGTATTCTCCACTAGATATCAGTTCAAGCATTCGAAGCCGAGGAAATCAACCGGTCTCCGGATCTACGAGGCCCATGTGGGAATCGCTTCGCCCGAATACAAGGTAGAACTCGAATCCCCGATTAAGATCCCCCAAAGCCCTATTCACGTGTTGTTACCTGGACTCATACACTCTGATCCAGGTTGCAACATACGAGAACTTCCGCATCAACGTCCTGCCGCACATAAAAAAACAGGGCTACAACGCCATCCAACTCATGGCCATCATGGAGCACGCCTACTACGCTTGCTTCGGCTACCAGGTACCATGACTGTCCTCACTGATCTTCGCTCATATCTGAACTCATCATAATCTCCTCCAAAGACGAGCAATAAGTTCTGTAATAAGGCCTTGGAATTCGAATGTCTAGGTGACTTCATTCTTTGCGGCGTCTTCGCGATACGGAACACCATGCGAACTCAAAGAGCTTATCGACACTGCCCATGAATTGGGCATCGTGGTGTTGTTGGACGTCGTGCATTCCCATGCTTGCAAGAACGTATTGGATGGCTTGAATCAATTTGACGGAACCAACAGCGGTTTCTTCCATGACGGAGGTGAGTTCGGAGCCGGCAATGAATCTGAGCTAAATTGAGTTTCCCGTTGAACCGCCTAAATTTTTCCCGATTTCAGGTCGCGGAGAGCATTCGCTTTGGGACAGCCGTCTCTTTGACTACAACCAGATCGAGGTGAGACTCATATGTACATCAATTCGGAATAGACTTGATGATTTGATCGAATAACAGAGGAGCTCCCCAATGTGGACTCGAGCACGAGGTCGAACTGAAGCGAGTGGATTCATTCTCTAGGTGTTGAGATTCCTGATGTCGAATCTCTACTATTATCTGGATGAGTTCCAATTCGACGGTTTCCGTTTTGACGGAGTTACGTCAATGTTCTATCACACCCACGGCATAGGCCACGGTTTCTCGGGTATGTACAGAGATTGGTCCCTCCTCGTAGGAAGAGAAAGTACGATGAAGCCATCCACGCTACGACCAGTCTGTTTGGTTCAGGTGACTACAACGAATACTTCGGAATGAATGTGGACACGGAGTCTCTGATTTACCTCATGCTCGCGAACGCCATGACCCACGAATTATTCCCGGGGTCGGTGACCATCGCCGAAGACGTTTCGGGAATGCCAGCTCTATGCCGCCCAGTTGATGAGGGGGGCACCGGTTTCGACTATAGGTCAGTTTAAATGATTGGATAGCTTCCCCGGATTCCCCCAAGAAATCTCTCGGTTCTCTATTAGAGTGCAAGACTCGGATGATCGCGGCCGGTTTCCCCGGGGAGCAATCATCTGATTTTCAGAATGGAATCTCCGAGCGAAGTCACTGATTCCAGGTTGGCGATGGCGATTCCAGACATGTGGATCAAAATCCTGAAAGAACAAAAAGACGAAGATTGGAACATAGGTAGCATCGTCCACACGCTATCGAACCGACGTTGGGGTGAAGGCACTATAGCCTACGCCGAATCTCATGATCAGGTCAGTTCCTCCGAGAAGCATCTCCGCTGATATGCATATCGTGGTCGGCTCATCCGCTGGGCCGAACTGTCTGAGCCTCTCAGAACATTTCTATCTTTCAATCTCGGTCTTGCTTGTAGGCGTTGGTGGGAGATAAGACGTTGGCGTTCTGGCTTATGGATGCCGAAATGTATACAAACATGAGCATTCTTTCTCCACTCACACCCATCATCGACAGAGGTGAGCATAGGGAACAAAACGTGAGCCTTATCGAATCGATCATTCGGAATCGTTAGATATTTTAGGACAATATCACTGAACGCCATCGCGTATAGGGCATCGTCTGTGATCGCTGCTTCCAAGATGACGCTAGTGCTCGAGATATACTGACGGATTGTGTCGACTGATAGCCTTGAGCGGTTTTTCGCATGGAAGCCGCGCTCACAAATACAATTCTCGAAATATCGTTCTGGTCTCGGAGAATTAAGAGAGCGGAGAGTGCGCCGAAGGATCCGTACATGAGCGTAGTATATTTGAAAAATATCAAATGCGAAGTCGGGCGGCGGAATAATGTATAGATAAACTTCAGGCATCGCCCTACACAAACTCATTCGGCTGATTACACATTCTATGGCTGGAGAGGGCTGGTTGAATTTCATCGGCAACGAGTTTGGGCACCCGGAATGGCTGGACTTTCCGCGAGCGGGTAACAACAACTCATTCCACCACGCTCGGAGGCAATTCAACTTGATTGATGATAACTTACTCAGGTACCACAAGTTCGATTCGGCGAATTTATACTTCAGTCTGTGTTCGGAGTTAGTTTGCCCCCCGAAATAGCGGAGGCCATCGACGGGGAAAGCGATGTCGCATTTCACGATCGTCTCCGCTTCAGATATCAATTCTTGAACAACTGGGACCGAGCTCTTAATGAACTCGATGAGAAGTACAAATATCTGGAGGCAAATCCCGCCTACGTCAGCTGGAAGCATGAGGAAGACAAGGTCCGCGCTGGAGTCATGTCGATTTTAAGCTTCATCATATATGCTCAGATGATCTCAACGAGAAATCAGTTAGAAATATATTGATCGTGGGCACCGTTCCAGGTCGTCGCGTATGAACGGGCAGGACTGCTCTTCGTGATCAACTTCCATGGACAGAAATCCTTCCCAGATTATCGCGTCGGAGTAGATGTGAGTTCACCGGTCGCATTGTATCCTCGGATTGCCCTGTCGAAAGTCCTCCTCGTAATTAATTGAGTACCTTCCATCCGAGCTCCGGATTATGCAGAAGTCTCGGTCAAAATCCTCCGCCCTTTCTTCCAGGTCGCTGGAAAGTACAAAATCGTGCTGAACAGTGATGAAGCGAAGTTCCAAGGCCACTGTCGTGTCGACCCGAATGTGAGCCTCAGCCCGGATATTATCCATTCGAGAGAAAGTCTGGGCAACGAGGGCCGTTCTCTCAGATTTCGCTCAAGTTTTCCCACGAAAACTCCATTCGCTAATTTTGTTTGTATCGAATTGCAGGTGGAAGCTTTCACTGAGCCTCACGGTTATGCCAATCGGAGAAACAGCTTATTGGTCTATGTGCCATCTCGAACCGCTCTGGTTTTCGCGAAAATCGACTGAAGAGTAGGCTACGTCGTTCTGCGAGCAATTCACTCATCGATTGATCGACTCCTTATAGTTTCATTGATTTCATTTTCGATTCCAATCAATGGGACGTTGAACGACGGGCTGAAAACAGGGCAGAGGGAGCGAACCGGGGACCTGTAATGATTCCAGAGGAGAGACGAGCCAAATATATCAACGAGTTTTAAAGTTTCATGCTACACAAAGAAGAACATGCCAGCGATACCGTGATTGCTCTGGTTCGGTGCGCAAGTTCTGTTATCTCGCAATAACATGCTGAGAACTCCAAAGTTTAGAATATACCCCCCAAGTGACAGAATGCTGTTATCATTCTATTTATTACTACCATTAAATAAAAAATAAAGAAGAGTGAACTTTGGAAGAGATGCTATATTTTCGTACACCAAACGCAAGCCATCCACGTGGGTATTGCACGTCCAACTGCAGCGAGAGGACGTGGCAAAGAGGAAGAATGCGGAATTCCCATATATCAGGTCTGCATTTCATTATGACTCAAACGTGGGATTGTCAATGCTTGATGGATAGCTCTGCTGATAACATTGACTCAGTGAGTCGGTCGCTCGCAGACGCGTTGCCACGAGAAATCGCGTCGGCCACCAGAGATTCCACCCTTGCTTTCTGTGGGCACCGCAAAGAGCAACGCACAGCTCGGTGTCATCAATTTCCATCGTTCCCCACACACAAACACCCCACACAGATATCCAACTCGCACGCCAGACAGACTCGGGAGTGAGAGCTAAAGCGAACGAACAGTTCGCGACACACTTGGAAAGTAACTCTTCACTCCGCGAGGTTCCCCTGAGAACCATCACTCCGAATTCCTTCCTGTTGAAGTTTCGTGTCTTCACACAGCATGACTACGGGGATATGCTATCGTGGCCGCTTCCAGTTGCCGCCCGGGGGAGCCTCGAATCCGCTCGAGATCAGGTTCAGGAAATCCTTTAATCGGGGAGGGCGATTCCGAAACCAGGTATAAAGTGGACGGAAATCACCCGTTGTCCAGATCTGGGTAAGACTATGATTTCTACCCGATGGGGGTGGAATCGTGCCGAGCTCGGAATGAATGCTCCTGAGGTTTGTTTGCGGATGTGGACAGTCAGAGCTCCGAATGAGGAGCCCAAGATACGCGGCTCGATGTATCGATTCACCTGGGAATTTCCCTCAGCTTATCTCAACGCAGAGCTTGCAGGTGCTGGCGGACAGGTTCCTTGTCGTGAGAAAATTTGGATGTTTTTCGGGAACCTCCGAATTCAGTTTACTTTTGAGATGCTCGTAACGTGGTGTTCCTGATCATAACGACGATAGAAGAGAACGATAAGAGGAACTACAAACTTGGTGAACAGTCTTGCTCCGACCGATCGGGTCTCCGCGAGTCGACAGATAGGAATAGAGAAAGAGAGAGAGAATCCATCCGCCGATGCTTGGGAGGGGCAGCGAGGCGGACAAGTAAGCGAACAAGATAGAGAGGCGCTTTGAGGAAACCACCTACAACCACTAATGCTATCGTACTTTGAGAGCTCGGGCAGTCGACCGGAAATCGTTCTTATCATGAGCAGCTCGACTAGTATTGTTGAAGTCGAACACTCGTTCTTCGCTGTTGACCTCAGTCGAGTCGGATCCTATTCGATGTTGAATTCATCAAGCCTCAGGACTCCGAGAAGGGACAGAATAAGTTCCGAGATTACGTAATGAATCTACACGAGCTCTGCCGGAGATCTGTATAGAGGCGACTCTTTCTTGGGATGTTCCCATCTTGCTCCCTTAACGGACTCCGACGCGGCGAGTCCCGAATTTTCGCGGAATCCCAATTCACTCTCGAAGGCCTTGTCGACAGGCGCTAGGCAGCTATGTGGAGTCCCTCATTTGCCCAGCAGCGCTAACTTCGACCAGGAGGAACAGGGATGGAGGTTGTCACGATTCCTATAGTAGCCACCGTTGATGCGGTGTTTGTGGTAGTTGTGACGTGAAAAGAGAGCCACCAGCGACCCAGTCACAAACGGAATCAGCACATCGCTCTACCGAGAGTCTCTGTGACACTATCAGTTGCCCGCAGCCATAGCCGTTTCCGTTGCATTGCTACTCCTTGGAGTTGGGATACAACTTCACTTCCGCTGAGAACAAGCCCATGATGACCACCGAGTGACCACAAAGCTGATTCTCGCAGCTGGCGAGAAGCCTTGCACCGACTCTCTAATATCATCGAGCTGGAGCCATATGGGAGGCTCAAATTCCTCAGGAGGTCCTCCATCAACTTATTCCAGTTAGGTGACTATTCCAACCTGACACTGGTACACGATCTTCTCTCAAGGGATAGCGATGCTCCGCCACGACGAATTGTTTTTCCTCCGCTGAGGAAAGCCCGAATTCTTCGATTTCGCGATCGCTCGAGCAGAGATCTTGTGATCAGATCTAATTCATAGGCTCTGACTACGCCCCGTGTGATATCTCGAATCCGAGTCTCGGGAGGGCTCGTGAACCCCCGCCCCCTCGCGGTGGAGTGACGACCCTTGAGATCGTGACTTCAAACCTGAGCATGTATTCGAACAAGTTTGCCCCCGAATCGAAGTCCATGTTCCGCACACTGCTCGGAGGAAACTGAGTGAGGCGTCGTTCCTGGATGATTAGGTTCAAGTCTGCGAGCCAGCATTTGAAGTTCAGAACATCAACGTGCGGTAAAGAAGCTCTCATACCTCGGATCTCACTGATTCAACGTCAACCAACGACATCCACCGGAGGAACTCATTCCCCCGGCCATGGGAATCCGAAGAATTCTGAACGCACCCAGTCAGGTAGCTTAGGGTCTCGACGTTTTGAAACAATCTGCGCTCCGATGCGTGAGTCCTTCCATTATTCGCAGGAGCAACATCAATCGTATACACAGACGCAAGCTCAGGCGTGTATATCTAGCGAGAGAACGGAGCGAGATTTGAAATCCATTAACGAACCTCGCCCTCCCGGGTCCATCCTCGACTGACTCGTTGGCTGCCGGGCTAGCCGTCTATATTTTTCCAGGGTCGCGTGCGCTCTGCGGTGTTCTCACCCCGCCCACATCTTCTTTATCCGATAAGGAGTGTACTCAAAAGATGAGGTTTCATCCCTCTCACGTGCCGGACGATGAAGACTTCGGGAATTCCCTGATGCACCGTATCATCCCTCGGCTCTCTCGACATCTCACCTCTTTTCCGCAGCGTTCAACATTGCCCTGGCATTCCTCAATGGACCGATATAGAGCCCGTCAAAGGTAATCGAGAATCTGCGGCGGCGAACGCGATCGAGGAAGTCACAGTCTGTATTGGTCGAGCTGGTTCCTCTCATTTGTCGATCGATGCGACTCCACCTCGATTCAACCGCAGTCAATGAAAAGGCTTTCTGCGCCCGTAGCCTACCGCTGCTCAATATGTCGGACAACGATTCGAGCGCTTAACAAGTGCCCGTCACGCGATGTCACGCCTGCTGGCTGAAAGGCGGACTTGCCTCGCATACATTTTTGGTCACAATCCATCTCGGTCGACTCCGGCCACGATAACACTTGGATAGGTCTTTGGGCTGATGTTTCTTACGATGATCGGTAAATGATGTACGACGAGCTGATTCGATGTAGGTCCGCAGAGTCATCCTACACCTCGGTGGTCGAATTATCGTGTCGTATTTCTCCGGGGCGCTCCGACAGATGCATTTCCTTCTACTCGGTATTCTGAAAGTGTCCGATACGCAGCTGAATGATTTCCCTTTCTCTAATCATCCGAACCCTGACTCTCTTCCGGCATGCCTTGCTCAAGTCCGAGGCTTGCCGAACGAATGAAAAACATCGAGAAATTTCGGGGTCAATCGGAGTGAAAGTGCAACCGCGCGGTGTTGCCTGCCGACCGGCGCCGTTATCTTCACGGAGAACGCGCCTATGCAACAAATTCTCCGGAGCGTGTCCTGAAAACCTCTGTTTCCGCATTCATCGCGCTCCGAGCAGCAACCAGTCAGCGGTCTCAATAGAGCGAAGCGAGATGGAATCAGTCGCGGTCGGATGAAAAGAACTACGAATGAATGGGAAGAAAACGTTGGTGACATCCAAACATAAATTTTTCAACACTGTCGAGGAAGGGCTCTGAGAAAACGCACGTCAGGGCTCTAACCGGGCGAAAACGATCCACCTGCGACAACACACACCATCCCACGGAGGTCCGACGCCTAGCCATATTTCCCGCGAAAAAGATAGATGAATGCATCCAAGTGGGGCAAAATGCGGGATCGAGCTCCGGTTTCCTGGATGAGCTGGCTACGGCCGTGGTATGACTGCGGGAAGCCCCTGTCATTGAAGGAGAACGCAGTCCGACATCCTCCTCCGCAATCCGATCTCAAAATAATCTTAAGCTGAGCGACGATCTGTTCCCCCCCGACGAGTGGAGGCATTCTATGTGATATGAATTATTGGAATCGCTCGCCGCTCGACTGCTCGGGTCGTTCGAGAGCATCATTTAAACTAGATGATGATATTATTTGCGGTAGGGCGCTAGATACCCGCGGCACGCGTCGGATATTTGTTCAGGAACGTCAACCGAAGGAAAAATCGTAGAATCCGTGGAGGATTCGTAAGATAAGCAACTGCGCATGCGTACCTCTCAGCGGCCGCTGCTGCCTCCGGACCAGGAGTGCAGGGCGGGCCTTTGGCTCTCGGCCGGATAGTGCTCAGATGGTGTTCCGCTCTCGCACGGGACACTACGCCTCTCTGATCCATCTCCAAACAAGCACGTGTAACGAGCTTCGTGCCTGACTTCCTCTCCGCTGTAGTGTCCTTGGCTCTCGTCTGAAGTGACTTGTCTCTGTCAGTGAACCCTTTTCTCGCCCGCCCGACCGACTGTCGGACCATTCTTGATCCCTCAGGAGTATGGGAAGCAGTGTTCTCCTATCGTCTCCGGTAAGCTCAGGACAGCGGAACTCTCAGGATAGTCATTACTATCAGCAGCCTCAACTACAACGGCACGAAACCGAGCCGTCTGTCATGACGGGGGCTCAAAACCAGCCCGACTCCACGATTCAATCCGGTAAGCATTCTCGGAGCTTGGCCCGAACACAGCCGAATATTTCCCAATGAAATCAGTGTGAGGATACTTTTCGTTCGCTCGTTTGGTCAGATTTCTTCGTTTGCTGAAAAAAAATCCGTTTGGCGGAGGGACAGCGGCGCGTTCCCGAGTCGGAGCGTTGCGGGAAGATCCGCCAGGCTGTGCGGAAAGATCTCGAGCCGGATCGTCCAGTGCCTTGCAATTCTATCACAATGAGATACCAGAGAGCAAAAACACGTCTGATTCGATTCGCGGTTGCGATTGTATCAAGCTCGCTGACTGCCTGTCCGCGCCAATGAGCAA